GCTGGAAGGGAGGGGGAGAAGTTGAGGGAGGGGGAGGAGTTGATCAGCAGGGCCCACAGACCCCGTGGAGTACCCTCACGGACCCCAGTTTGAGAAACACTGATATAGAGAGATTTGTTAAAACTAAGAGCTGGGTGCAACTCAGATAGCAGCTATGACAAGGCTTAGTGGAAGCAGGGTCTGAGACATTCTCTGGGATGGATACCCCAACTGGCCACTGATAATGGCAGGATCCTCTCTCTGGACTCTAAGTTGCAGCCTCATGAGTCAAATCAGAAATGGCAGATGTGGGGATTCAGTTCACTTCTAGTTGGTATGTTTGAATTATTCAGGGCTGGCGCTGTCAAATATTTACTCTCTTGTGTTTGTAGGAGAACGGGGAGCTCCAGGGATCCCTGGAAAGATGGGACCAGCAGGGGAGAAAGGTAAAGCAAGAAAGAGCGAGTCACTTTGATTACATCACAGTAACAGCTTCTGAACATGCTTATCTTCAGGTTACATCTGTAAAAACTTTTACCCCAGTAGAAGCTCAGTTCTGAGCCCCTCACTGACATTGTTGCACTTCAGATAAATCTTTCCGCTGTTTAACCAAGAGAAAAAAGATAATGCTTGGCCTCCTTGGACTGAAAGGTGATTGATCATCTCAAATAATTCTTCTCACTGCAAAGCTGTGGCCCTTCTGTACTTTAATGACATACAGGGGATGGCTACACTGCAGCCGGGGGTGTGATTTGCAGTTCATGTAGCTGTACCCACATTAGCTTTAATCTAGCTAGCTTGCTAACAACTGAAGTGAACACATGGGAGGAGGGAGAGCTCAGTGGTTTGAGCATTGGCCTGCTAAACCCAGGGATGTGAGTTCAATCCTTGAGGGGACTACTTAGGGATCTGGGGCAAAAATCTGTCTGGGGATTGGTCTTGCTTTGAGCAGGGGGTTGGACTAGATGATCTCCTGAGGTTCCCTTCCAACCCTGATATTCTGTGTCTATGTGGGCTAAGCTACAGTTGTGAGTATGTAGTCAGAGGGGTCGTGCAAACTCGTGCAGCCTATCCTGAATCTTGTACCACTGCATCCTCATGGCTATTGTCAGCAAGCTAAAATCTAGCACAAGTACGTCTACACGAGCTGCAAATCACAGCAGTGTAGACATACCCACAGTGCCAGACACGTAAGGTGCAAGAGTTCTGTAGTGCCCGCTGGTTCACAAAGGCCTGTGTGTACTTACAAATATTTCTTAGCACTTACAGGAATTCATGCTCAGCTAATCCAATCCTGTACATGAGTGGGACTGTGATTGAGGCTTGGTACAAATACCATTTTACCCTCCTCTTTCTTCGCAGCCACCCACTGCTTTGGTTCAGGTAGCTGCCCTTATTCTGGTCTGCATCTAGAACTTGCTCTGGGTTTTGAAGGAACATCAGGTACAATTTTCAGAAGTGCCTAAGGAATAGAACTGGTTGGAATATTTTCCCCAAAATGACGTTTTAGAAATGGGCCAGGGCTCTCTAGAGAGCAAGACTCTCATAGGCTGGTGATCATCGCACTGGCCTGTGATGTGGGACAGAGCTCATATTCTCATAGATTATTTCCCGGAGCCCCCCACACACCCTCTCCCAACATGCTATAAAAACTCCAGGCCCCGGGAGGGAGGGGGGTTCAGCCACTGGGCTGGTGGGGGGAACTCAGGGCTTCTACATAAGAACATAAGGATGGCCCTACTGGGTCAGACCAAAGGTCCATCTAGCCCAGTATCCTGCTTACTGACAGTGGCCAATGCCAGGTGCCCCAGAGGGAATGAACAGAACAGGTAATCCTCAAGTGATCCATCCTCTGTCGCTCATTCCCAGCTTCTGGCAAACAGAGGCTAGGGACACCATTCCTGCCCATCCTGGCTAATAGCCATTGATGGACCTATCCTCCATGAACTTATCTAGCTCTTTGTTGAACCCTGTTATGGTCTTGGCTTCTGCCCTGAGCAGTGGCAGGGCTGCGGGCTTCAGCTGAGGAGAGGGGGGTCTCGGGGCTTAGCCCCACGGGGGTGGGGGCACTGGGGCTCGGGGCTGAAGCCCTGCAAGGGGCACAGGGGCTCAGACATTTTTACCAGAGCAGAGCTCTGGACAGCTCCAGCTGAATTTAAGCCCTGATGTAGGGGAGCCAGGATCAAGTCTCTTCTCTGGCTGATTAAGAGCAGAGTTTTTCATCCCAGATCATCCTGACTCAAGAAGAAAAGAGACTTGAACTCCCTTCTCCAACATCCCAGTGTCTTAACCACCAGGCTGTAAAGTGTGAGAGAGTCTCTCTTGTCAGAAGTAACCAGAGAGCCTTGTACCCCAAAACCTTCTCGAATAGAAAAGCTCAGGTTTCGATCGGAACATGGACATCTCAACACAATTTCATTTTCACAAAAAAACTTCAAAAGGTTTTTTTTTCATGCTATCGTGGAACGAAACCAAAATTCAAAACCTCCAAAGTTGCCGCGAAATGGAATTCTCATGCTCCTGACAGCTCTGCTTTTTAATGGGCTGTAGGCTCCTAAGTTACTTATGTGCTTTTGAAAATGTTACCCATTGCATCTGGCTGCCTGAAGTCCCTGGACAGTCAGCCGGGAGCAATTCTGCACCAAGCTACTTTCATCTTGTTTTCCCAAGTGAATTAATTTGTACAAACGGAGAATAAACCCCCAAATATTAACTTTTTTAAAAAAATGTCTATGTACTTCACACACTTCTAAATGTAATCCCCCTCTTCTGCCCTCATATTCTGTATGGTACCATCAATGCCAAATTCATGCAGCTCTGGAGATGTTGGAAGGGCATTAGGGTATTTTCCTGCAACAAGACAGGCTGACACCCCATGAGTGCTGAGATTAGAGTGTGTGTGATCTCCAACTAATGCAAGGGTTTGACCCTGTGCTCCATTTTAGGAGAGAAAGGAGAGCCCGGAGAACCAGAAACAACAGGTAAGAACCACTCTTCCATATGGCAGAAGAATGATTTAACTGACCGTAGCAGCTGTGTTAGCCACGGGATACATTCTGTTATCAGGCACCTGTGAGCTGCAGTCTGTCTCCGATCCATCTCCTTCAGGAGGATGGTTAACCTCTCAAATAGCCGCCATTTCAAAACAAAACAACCTATTACCAAAACATTTCCTTCTCCCTCTTCAGTGTAGGAACTACTGCTCCCACACCGCCTCCCCTGCCCCAGTACGACAGTGACTCAAGGCACAGACTGAGTCATAGTTCGGAAAGACCCACTAAGTCATGATATTATTTAAGGTGGCCGGAGCAGTCCCTGATGCCCTTGTGAAAGGTGCCTCCTGGACGCTCCTCCAGCCTGGGTGGGAGTGCCAGCCTGTTCCCACTGATGGGTGGCAGAGTAACCCCACTCTTCTCCATGCCCTTTGTGGACACTGTTGGCATTAGCTTTGAGCAGCCCTTTTGCTCTGGGAGCAGGGGGGCAGGGACGGCGCTTAGGAGTAGGGCATGACGGTCCAGGTGCTTCCCCTGCCCTTACTCACCTGCCAGGGCCAGGCACAGCCTCTCCCTAGTGAAAAGAGATGAAACAAATCAGCTGTCTAAAAAAGCGCAAACTCTGCTGAGTTAACCCCCTGGCGAGTGCGTGTCACAGGTCCCCTTCTGTGCCCGAGCCACACAGGATAGGAGTAGGGGTCTGGTGTCAGGGGCCTTGACCATTTAGCTCAAAGCGTAGCAGGGCCTGCTTTTAGTTCTGAAGGCCCCAAGATCGCATTGACTCTTCACCCTCCCTTGCCCGATCAGATCCAGTCCCGCGCTTTCAATCAATGCATGTTTAATTTTCCATTTTGTCTAGGACCCAGAAACTGCAAGGAGCTGTTAGCCAAAGGGAGAACGCTGAGCGGCTGGTACGCCATCTACCCAGGAGTTGCTGTTGATTCCATCACTGTCTTCTGTGACATGGATACAGATGGTGGAGGCTGGATTGTAAGTGAGAGGGAGTGTGGCGGGGAGGAGGGTGGTATAGAGAACACGTTTGATTTTAATCAGAGGTGCGAGGATTGCCACTTGCTGGCAGGCGTAAATCCATCCTAAATTGAGGAAATGTTGAGACAGAGCTGAAATAATTCATCCAATTATGCCCCAAATATGTCATCACAGATTTCATATCCAGGCCAGCCCATCAGTTCAAAGAGGAGAAACTGGGTTTGTAGAAACCTGGAAGTTTCCTTATTTGTTAGGTTTTGGTTTACTCACATTTGCTATTTAGGTCTTGTCTAGCCTGGAAGACTCTACAGGTGACTTTAGGTGTAATAACCTGCCTAGTACATGTGACCATGTCTCCCTCTAGTGGCTGGGAGGGCTACAATGGGCTTCCTTTATCTGCTGACCTGGCTTCCTTTGGAGCTGGTCACTCCTTACATCAGCCCACGAGGTGTGGGCACTCCCAGGGTATGCCTACACAGTAGCTGGGAACGAGCCTCCCACCACACTACAACTAGCAATGAGACATAGCGGCTCTGGTGGCAGCTTGGACCCCCAAGGTCTGAGCTCAGATGGCTAGCTCGAGTCTTGCCTGGAACCGTGCAGACATCCCCAGAGGTTAAGCACATTGCCTACACAGCATTGTCAGCACCGGACAGCCTGGCCGAGGTGTGAAAGACCCTTATGTGATGGCAAAAGACTGCAAGGCCGTAACTCTGTCATATCCCAACTACTGAAGGGTTTTTATGTTCTTCAGGCCACGGAGTGAAAGAGAGATGGGCCATGGAGCAGAGAGGTTACCAGCTAAGAGGGGGTTTGCAACACTTCCTAGCCTGAAGAGTTAGCTCCATCCATCTAACGTGCAGTTAAAAGAAGTAGATAGAAATGGATTTGCCCAGTTAAATGAGCTGATGGGAGCCAGAGTCACTCTTTGAACTTGGCCAGGTCACATTGCAACTCTGAGCCTCCTCCTCCTCCTTCTCTACAGATGAAGGTAGTGGTGCCCATGTTTGTAGAGCAGGATCTATTGCAGGGAGATACATTGGAAAGCATTACGTGAATGCGAAGTGTAGTGGCTGCATGAGCAGGTATGAAGTAATGGTATGTCAGGCAGCTGTTTTATGATGGATAGAAATCGTGGTGCAATCTTCCACCTCGCACCCTCTCATTTCCTTGCAGGTTTTCCAGAGACGCGCAGATGGTTCGGTGGATTTTTTCCGTGACTGGGATTCATACAAGAAGGGTTTTGGGAACCAGCTGACGGAATTCTGGCTGGGGAATGACAATATCCACCTGTTAACATCCTTTGGTAACAAAATCACGATGGATTTTTTTCTGGGTTTTGTTCTTTGCCAAACCATCTCCTTGGAGACAGGATACATAAAGTGATTCATCTGCTTGTATTCCATGTCTCAACCCCTCCTTACAAAGATCAGGCAGAACGTTAATGGAAAGCGATTGACATTTTTGTTTCCGTTTTGCCTCTAGAAACTTGTGAACTTCGTGTCGATCTGAGTGATGTGGAAAACAATAAATCCTTTGCCCACTATGGGACCTTCAGCATTTCAGGACAATCTGACAAATACAGACTGAACCTAGGAAAATTTCTTACAGGCACTGCAGGTAAGTTTGGGGCCCATCCTGCACCTTGTGTACAAAGGAGGTATCATGAACAACCATCAAAAGCAGAGTATCTCTGGCAGTTCTACCAACTCAGAGACTACCTGAAAGGGGAGGCGGGAAGAAAGTCCATGTGACATTCCAACGCAGGCCATCGGCATGATGTTTTCACCACACTTGTGCACAGTGGAATCAGAATGTTAACTGGAGTTGAACTCAGAATTCTTGGTCCTCCAGAGTCTAGAAAGAGGATGTTTGGTTTGGGGGAACTTAATAAAGTGAGGCCCTGCTGGGTCGGAGGTCTTTTCCCACAGCTAGCCTCCTATTTTTAAATATTGTTTGGGAAGGGAAAAGGAGCTATTAGAGGCACATTATGTATTAAACAAAAGGAACCATAGTTGTCGAGTCAAAGTGTGGAATAGAGAATCCCTGTTACTTAATAGTCACATTCAGGCGAGCAGGACATCTATCGGAACCTGTCAGTGCTTTGTACACACAATCATGTTCTTGCTTCCGGTGTTTTAACAGGTGATTCCTTGTCTGGCCATAGAAATATGACGTTTACAACCAAAGACAACGACAATGATATGCATTCTAAATTATTGGAGATATCCTATCTCCTAGAGCTGGAAGGGACCTTGAAAGGTCATCGAGTCCAGCCCCCTGCCTTCACTAGCAGGACCAAGTACTGATTTTGCCCCAGATCCCTAAGTGGCCCCCTCAAGGATTGAACTCACAACCCTGGGTTTAGCAGGCCAATGCTCAAGCCACTGAGCTATCCCTCCTCCACATTCGGGGAACTGTGCTCTGCTGTACAAGGGAGGCTGGTGGTACCACAAGTGTCACGGTTCCAATCTGAACGGGCTGTACCTGCTGGGGCCCCATGAGAGCTACGCAGATAGTGTCATCTGGGCAACAGGCAAAGGGGCTTACTACTCCTACAAAGTCTCAGAGATGAAGTTCAGGCCGGTTTAGCACAAGGAGTGCGAGGTCGCTCTCCAGCAACGTATGGGAATGGACCCTCACAGGTAGTTAGATGCCGAAAGCCCATTAATTTCTATGGAAGTTCCATGGATGTGCCTAAAGGATCTGGGCCTTAGAGCCTGATCTGAAGCCCA